GCAGAAAAATCATTTAGCTGCTCTGCAGTGTGTTTATCTTGTGTAAGTGATCCTTTGATTGCTTAATCATTTGGCAAACCTGCTAATTTCCTTTCATTTCTGTTATTCCACGGAATTACATTATTTGAAATTTTTGCTAATGATGTTGAAATTTCCTCACAGCTTTCATACACATCTTACTAGTTGTACTTGAAATACCTTTTTAGCTGCTTTTTTGTGGAATCCCCGTAGTCTAAAAAAAATCTCTTGTAAGGCAAAATAATTTGAGACTATTTAAATAGATTGTTGCATCCACCCTCACCTTTTCTTATAAATAATGTGCATTCTTTTTAAGGAATGAATTGTGGTTTTTAGTTTTATACATCCCTTTGCATTTCTTACTCCTGATGTGGTCCTTTGTTGTGGTAATGGCTGTTGATGGTGATGTAACTTTCACTTTCTATGTTTCATCTACATTTTTATTACTACAGTTCTTTCTTTCAGGATGTTGAACTTCACAACATACCTGTTACTTAATTCTCCAATTATAATATAGTAATTGTGTAGTTAAAAATAATCTCACTTTCTGATGATGAAGTAGTTGTACTATGAGTTAAGTGTCTGAAGTGTGGAAGTTGCTTTCTCTAGACCTTGCCTTTTGTTCAGTTTTATACAGAGAAATGGAATCTATAACTCTTTGATTATTATTTATAACTACATTTTGTTTCTGCTGGCCACTATTGAAAAAATGAATGTATCAAATTCACAATTAAATAATATTTATATTTTAACTTTCCTGTTGTCTTTCAAACCTTGTTTCTTTTCAGTTTTGCTGACGTTGTCTTTGAGATGATTGCATGTCAGCTTTGTCCTCATTCTGCCATTTTTTTCTAATCTAATGTGATTGTCATAACCTTCATTTGAAAGAAATTTGGTGGTATATTTTTGCACATAGCTTATTATAGTTTGGAGATCTGCATAATTTAACCTCCCTTTTTATAATACAGCATATTTACACATCTAAAGCAGTAGTCCTATGAGGAAGTCTAAGTGCTTTATAAATCCTAATGAGTTCAATCTGTTACCCTGCTGTACAGAAACACATTTCAGTTCCCCTGCCCCATTTTACAAAAAGGAAACTGAGGGACTAATACTGACTTGCACAAAGTCAGATGTCAAATATGTATTTTAAAACTTGGAGGATTGGAAAAAATCTAGCATTTTTCCTATAGCTAATCTCAGATATTTTTTGTTACTTCTTCACATTGCTATTTAGTTCCTTTTTCATGGGATGGTCAATCTTGTGCTGGATTAGGTAGAGCACAGAGACAGGACTAAGAGTCTGGGGGAGGGAAGTAACTGTGTGAGCTATGTAATATAGACAGCTGCTGCAGTGCCCAGAAAATAAATAGAAATTGTTTTAGTTGATAATGTGCACATGTTGTTACAATGAAATTAGTTATTTATTTGAATACCTTCTCACAGAGTATTTACGTCTAAAACAAAAGTTGTGTTTTGAGTCAAGAAATCAATGAACTGCTAGAGAAATCGAGCTTGTCAGTGGTCTTACGTGAGTAAAGGCTCACAGACACATGTACAGGACAAATTTTGGAAAACTCCTGTTGTGTCGATTGAGAAAAGAGTTGCTTTACAATGAGCAGCTGCAGTTTACTATTATATGCACTGTAGGTTTGTTTTGGTTTGGGTTGGGGTTTTTTTGGCCTGGAAATCTTCCTCTTGGAAGGAGATATTGGAAGCTGGCCTTTGAACTGTAGGCAGGGATACTTAAAGGAGAAGTCTTGCATTCACACCTGGTAATGAAGACAGTAAACTTTATAACTTGATTAACACACTGGTTTTTTTAACTAGTTGTGAGTTATACCGCCCTCAAATATTTTTGTGGATGCACAATTTTGCTAATTCACTCTAAAATCAAGACAGACTATTGCTAGAAGACATAAAATAGTTCAAAATGCTAGAAATTTCCAGGTGCTTCCATTGTAGTTCAAATACACTCCGTATTCCTATACCCTCTGCCAATATCAATCAGCAAAAAACTTTGTCTAGCAGGGAGCAAGGTTGGAAGTTGGAGAACAAATGCTTCAGGCAAATAGCCTGTTAGTTAACACTAAAGACAGAGGTTAGCACACCATCAGGCAGGATCTCAGGGGAAGTATGGCACCCTGGAGTGTAAGACTTTTTTAAGGGCTGGTTTTGCATACAATAACTCTACATTTAACACAAATGTGACTGAAATTGTAATGTAAGTACAAAATGTGCTATGTTTTATTCATGGGGGAAAAATAATTGTAGAAATGATAAGCCAAACTTAGTTGCTTGTATCTTTATAAGTAAAAGTGGCCTGATTTTTTTTATTATTTTTAAGTGGCTGATTATTGGTTATCCATACTGCCTTAATGGCTGTAAGGGAGCATTAAGAATTATGTAAATGTCAAGCCATTTTGATGTAGGCACCTAAATATGGACTCCATGTGGTTCTTATTTTGTTGGATTTACCTGGCTTCTTTCACATATTAGGAATTAGTTTGAAATTTGAAATTCCTCGGTGCAGGGTATGGTCTTTCCATATGTTTGTGCTGTTTCTGCAGATTGGAACTTTCAAAACAGATGGCTTGAAGATTCTGGAGAATCAGACTTGGACACCCTCTCTTAAAAGTCTATGAAACGTTTTATTTAATTATTGTAGTGGAGATGATGATTGAGTGTGGAAGAAGACTTGGGGGAGTCCAGCCTTCTATTGCTCCTCCCTCCTCCCACACTGATTGCCTCATGTGCTCTTTTGCTTATTCTTTTAAACAGTTTCTGATTTTTTTTCTCCATCTGATTATTTTCTAGTATAAAAGCTAGAGTCTCCTTTTTCCTTTTCTGTGTTAAATACTAGGTTATATTTGTTAACATTGATTTTACATTCTGAGTTCAGACAATTAGTGAAACAATATATTTTATTTTGAAGCAACATTTCTTAACAAAATAATTTTTTGGAGGGATAAAGATGCATTGCATTTACTTCTGGGATCTTGGCTGATTTTTAATATACTGAAGAATGGAAAGAGGATTTATAGGAAGGCCGTACCTCCTTGCCTGCTTCAATAGGCAATGTAAGTGATTAATGCTTGTCATGCTCAGCTTGGTGCTTTCCTCTTATAAGAAGATCTTAGAGCTGCTGATTTCTTACTTCCACTGGCTTAAATGGAAGCTATTGAGAAGTTTCTTTTTCTGGTTCTGGGAACAACTAAAATCTCCCTATATTTATAAAATATACAGGAAAGGGAAGATTTGAATACTACTGAAACAACTTTTTCAAACTTTCTACTGAAAGATGTAGTCAAGGGAAGTTAAATAACTCGAATAAAGCTTGAGAGTGGTAGTAACGAAAATGGTGATGACATCTTCTCAATTAGCAGGTCTTTTCATGTGTGCTACTTCTCAGTCAAATTTTCAGGGGAAAGAG